CTCATTGTATTTATTATAAAAATTTTAAGTAGTATATTCTTACTCATCAAGTTGACATACTAATAAAAATAATAAAAAAATAATACCGTAAAATTAAAATAGACCAAAATACCCTCAAAAATTTACAGGGGTATTTTGATCATTATTTTTCATGTAGAACATTTTTTTAATATTTTTTAAATATTCACCTATTTTTTATCAACACACGTTTAAAATTTCAAGTAATTTGGACTTGTATAAAACAAACTTAAAATTCGAACACTATCGAGCATTTGTGATCGTTAGATCGGCCCAGATTCACTCTGGGTCATTGGGCTCATTTTTTCTTGTGAGCCCATTGGCTCACAGAAATATATATATATATATATATATAAACAGAGAGAGAGAGTGTGTGTTTTGTTAGCCCTCTAGCTAACAACTATAGTGTAAGCCCCATGGCCAAGATTGAATCTAGGCTGATCCAATGGTCATAATTGCATTTGTATTGAATTTTAGTTTTATTTTTAAAATATCAAATAAATATTTCAAAATTTCTAGATATAAATAGTTGTATCTTTCGAAGTAGTGAGGATACATTTGTTTAGTGTAAACAATTCCCTCTGTGGGAGTATTCTCACACCAAATGATAACGGTTTATCTTTTCACACCAATTGACAATTAATTTTTGCAAAAATATTCCCACACCTAACCACATGAGAGAATTCTTTTTAGATGCACCTTGTATAGAGCCGAGGCTCTAAACAATCAAAGTAAAGCGTACCGTCAAATAGTGTCGAAAAATGTGGTTTCAATACTGGAAATGTTTGTGATAGACTTAAAATATATTTTCATCTTTAATTATAAAATTTAAAGCTTAAAAAATAGTACAGATCGAGAATATCTATGAAAACTTGAAATTCTTGAATATTGACAGTCCAAAAATGCATTACAAGATGCACTATTTCCAAAACTTAAAATCGATTTTTTTATCATATCCATGCATCTTGATGTCGTGATGATCAATTTGAAGATATTTGGGCACCAAAACAACTTCTTGTAGTAAACTTTTTGAGATGTGCTCTAATTTGATTATTTAGAGCCTCGGCTCTATATAAACCCTTAAACCCTTTTTTTTCTTTTTCTTTTTTTACGTGAAAATACTTTCACACAAACCAAACCTGCCCTAAAACTTTTAGGTTTTATGAATTTCCATATTTAAATTAGTAAAAGTGCCCTTAAGGAGCTTACTATCATCTATGCCGTTTTCTCCCTCTTTCCCTTTCTCTTAGTAGGCTTTTTTCCTTATGTTTTGATGTTACTTGACTTTTAAAGAAAAGATTCATACAAAAAAGGTAAAGGGTATTTAACGAGACTCGTCCGCATGTAAAGGGTATTCAAGATGGAGAGCATCTTATGTCTATGATAAGTTAGTATAAGAAAAAGGGAAAATATTTATTTATCTCCTATTTTTAACTTTCATATATGATAAAACCCAAAAAATGAAAATATTACTTATAAGTAAAAGGTCTCCATCTTTTCTATCATAAACTCCGTGAACTCTTTTGACTATAAAGTGCTTACCCAAACAAACACTAAAATGACACCCTATTCAAACTCCATCTCTCTCCCACTAAAACTCCATCTCTCTCTTCGCTTCTCGATGAGTTTACCAACCAAGGGGTTTAGCTTGAGCTTGAACATGAGCACACGTTCTTATGTGTATGAGAGAGATGGAGTTTGAGTTTTAGAGAGAGAAATAGAGTTTTGGGATAGAGAGAGATGAAGTTTGGGTTTTAGAGACAGATGGAGTCTTGAGAGAGAGACGATTTGACAAAGATGGAGTTTTAGAGAGAGAGATAGAGTCATTTCATAAGTTGTTGTGGTCAATAGTACGTAATCAAAAGGGTTTAGGGGGTTGGAAGATAGAAAAGATAAAGTCTTTTTGCTTACAAGTAATATTTTCAATTCTTGAGTCTAATGAGATATAGAAGTTAAAAATAGGAGATGATAGGATATTTTCCCTAAAAAAAAACTTTGATTGAACTTTAAGTCAAGGGGAAGTATAGAAAAAACTTTCCATGCTTCCCCTACCACATAAAACTTATATAGTTCCCCTTATCCAACCGTCCATTCTGAATAGATGGCTAAGATTGCCTCCAATCACAATGTCATGTCTCTACACTATTTTATTTTTAATTTTTTTCTATAAACTATTTTGACACCAAATTTTGGACGTCCATTCCTCTATTAAAATATCAATAGCAAAAACTATATAAAAAAAATATTTCCAATAAAATAAAATGACCAAAATACCCTTAAAAGTTTCAAGACGTATTTTGGTCATTATATTTTATCAAAAATTATTTTTAATATTTTTTATAGGTGTTCCCCAATGAGAAGATAGCACGTACCAAATTTCATATTCATACAATTTTTATAAAAATAAATAAAAATAAAATACTTTGAAACGTCGAATCTAAGAACAAATAATGAGTGGCTATCTTGATCAAAATTGGACGGCTGGATGGTAGGGGAAGCATAGATCTTCTATCCTGTAAGGGAAGTATAGAAACCTTTCCCTTAACTTTAATTATACTATGCGGCATAGAGTATGGAACCTTGAATCCAAAATCCAAGGACTCTAGAGCGCCAATGAAAATGAACAGATGATTCAGCTGACCCAAGAAAATCCACCTAGGGGTGGTATTGGACTTGGACCCCATTTGGGACCTGCCGGATATAACAGATACGGGTTCGGGTACAGATATTACATTTGGACCTCGCGGGTCGGGTCTGGGTCCAAAACCTGGATCCAAAAACTATTAGGGTCTGGGTTCGGATCCGGTTGGACCCGACCTGTATCTGTAAATTGTTGGAGATAAAATGCTTCAAGCCCTATTCATTTAGATGTATTAATGATCGTATACAATAAGACCTCGTAGTCATATTTAGCTCTTAAGCGACAAATCAGACCGGCTTGAAATCTAATAGAAGGCAATTGTGACCTTCTTACCAATAATGTGTATGTGACAGTAAAAAAAATGCAAAAAAAAAAAGAAACAAGTTTTTAGTGAGGGTGGTAATAGACCCGACCAGACTCGGGACGCGACAAAATAAACCTAGGACCCAACAGGCCAGGTCTATCAACAAATAATGTTTTTCTCTCGGCCAAAAAAAGTTCCCATGTTAGGCAGGCCAAGTTTTCAACCAGTCTCTCTCAGTATCATGTACATTGTATGTGCTAATGGGACTTCATTGTCCGCGAGTGCCAAATTTTTTAAGGTAAAAGAAATAGAGAGAGACCTTTCACCCACCAATGCGGCTCACGCTCTCACCTCTTGCCCCCTGTTGCTGATGGTTCGCATATGATGGGTAGAGCCAGTGGGTCTGGCCCGAGCCCATCTCGAAATAGCGTAGGGTAGGTTTTGCTCGGATTTCAATTTTTAACTTTTGGTTTGGCTTGAGTTTTTAAGGTGATGAGGCCCGATCGTATTTTGGACCAAAAAAGTGAGACCTATATAAATATGAAATTCTTTTTTTCAAGTCATGGATTTTAAAAAATTTTGGATCCCTCCAGCATCCAAAAATATTTTAGGATCTACAATGCAGGACTTGACCTTGCCGTAGAAGATACAGCTCAAAGCAGTTATTAGGCCCAAGTCAAGAGCCACTAGACTGGCCCATACCCTTTAAGGGGGTGGCGATTGGATCCTTATTTTTTTTATGAGAATGAAGTTCGAGATTTTACTATAAAACTCATTGGGATTACTGCCTAGGCTAAAGAGAGATCATCATAAAACTCATCAGTACGAGATTTTACTATAAAACTCATTGGGATTACTGCCTAGGCTAAAGAGAGATCATCATAAAACTCATCAGTACGAGATTTTACTATAAAACTCATTGGGATTACTGCCTAGGCTAAAGAGAGATCATCATAAAACTCATCAGTACTACGGCCAGGCCCAGCCTGGCTAAGACTACACAGAGATGTGACACGAGTTGTATATATAATTGTAGAGAGAGAAAAGAGCGAGTAATTTAGAGAGAGTAGATAAAAAAAGTTGGTTTGGTTAAGTTACCTGGCGAACAAGGTCAAGGCAGAGGTGATACTTGATGTCACGGCGTAGGCCCTCAGGCAGGTTCTTGATCATTGCCACTTCGTCCACTCCTCTCATGGCCGCCCACCTCTGCCTCTCGTACTGCCTCAACCGCTGCCTGTATGCCTGCGGCAGCTGCCTCCTATTCATCCACCACTCCATGTTCCTCATCTTCAGCTGCATTGCCTGCTTCTTCGATGTCGTCGCTTGCAGGAATACCTTTTTTTTTTTTCCACAGACAACAAACAAACACCAACCATTTCCCATTAACCACGACCACTCTTCTAAACAATCCAAACCATCTCTCTCTCACTCCTAATCTAAACAAACATTATCTCTTGTCAAGTATAAACAACACTTCTAAACAATTCCAAAAAGCCCCAGTTGGGGGTCGTGGTTGTACCACCCCTGTTCCACCACCACTAAAGCCACCCACTAATACTTTTAAAAAATGACTAACTCCTAATCTACTTGAAAAAATCGGATAAAGGCCGTCTTCCCCATTGAATTACCCTAAAAAAAAAAGTGATTTATATATGGACGCTACAATTTTAGGTAAAATACGAAATGTTTCACTTATAAACAAAAATTACAAAGAAGATCGGTCAACCTACCGTTTTTTGTTTTTTTTCTAAAATAGCCCATTGGTCAACCCGAATTTCGATTATTTTTAGATTTTTCGTTAGTAGCCCCGCTAACAAAAAAAACTAACAAAAACTTTAAAAAATCAAAATTAGGGTTGATCGAGGGGTAATTTTGAAATAACTAACCAAAAATGGGTTGACTAACCTTCTTTTTAATTTGTATTTATAAACCGAACATTTTTTATTTTACCTAAAATTTTAAGATCCGTAATTAAATCACTAAAAAAAAAAAAGAAAAAGCCCTCTCTCTCTACCACGTAAACACGTGAACTAGGAAAATTAGGATCTCAACTTACCTTAATATTACCGATCAACATTGTAACTAGCAATAGGCCACTTGTTAGAATTATGATATTGAACACCACCTCCACCCATTCCGTCGTGCTCTCCAAGTTCCCAAAAGTGCTTTTAAGAAAGAACATAAGAAAAACATAAGAAAGACTATTTCAGCACTTGTGGAATGGATAATAAGGAATTCAACCTTGTGAAAATAAGATGGACGAGTTTGCAATCAATAGAAAGAAAATTTGGTGGGGTGGATCATCTACCCACTAATTCCGAAAATTGGTGGGGTGGATCATCCACCCACTAATTCCAGTTTGAGTCAGCTGTATCGACAATCTAGACCATTTAGATTGGCGATCCGACAAATTTAAGGTTTTGTTAGAGGGGGAGTAAGGTTCCAGTTTGGAACCTCAATTTCATTGTCGCCAAAAATCCCAACCAATTTAGATCTCTTAAAAGCTTTGGAAGTGAAAAAAACGAATATAGGATTTGGCATACCTCAGAGTCATTAATCCCCAAAAGATGGGGAAGAGTATCTTCTCCAAACGACTTGAGTTTGTGACAAGTGGGACTACCCATTTGTATGCTCCATAGTTAAAGTTATCCGCAGTGTCTATACACATATGCCTCACTTGCTTATTTGCTCCCCAGGCCATTCTCATGGAGTCCCTAACAATGGCGGTGCCATAGTATATAGTGTCTTTGCATCCTAATGTCGTTAAGGAGCAACTCGCCATGCCTCGACATTGCACTCTCAAACACTTTGCTGCCCTCTGAATCCCTAGCAAGTACCAGCATGCTCCTGCGGCCTATTGAGACAGAGACAGAGACAGAGACAGAGACTTCAAATTGAGCAAGCTGAATCTAGGTTTTTGGGGAAGGGGCTGGGGTCGTGGTGGTCCACACTCTAATCACAACATTGTGGTTTTCATTCTCTGTTCGACTAACACCTTAAGAAAACCTAATTCTTAAACTATTTGAAAAAGCGGGTAGGAGCTTATCTTCCCCACTTAATTATAAAAAAAAAACAGTTCAAGATTTAATAAGATATAATAGTGATCTATATAGCTATAGTGAAACAACGACAGTTGGAGTCACTCAATTCAATTAATTGGAAGATGATGGAGAGAGAGTAGTGCCATACAATTCATTATTGTTATTGTTATTATTATTATTATTATTTTATTTATTTATTTTATTATTTTTATTTATTTATTTATTTGGAAATTTACATGTCATTTTTTTTTTTTTTAAAGGAGATAAAGTGTATTTTAATATTTTCTCATTTTCAATATATTATATTAAGCTCAAATTTGGTATGTCTATAATTTCTGACATCATACATCTATACAAAATATTTAAAATAAAATAAATAAAATACAACTATACTATCTAGGGGTAATTTCATAATTTATTTGTTTTTAAAGTATTTTTTAAATATTTTTTGTAGGTGTATGATAGTGAAAAATATGTACATCGCAAATTGGAGCTTAGATAAAATTAAAATACAATTTATGTTTTAAAGATCGGATTTGATTGTAAAATAAAAAAGATATGAGAGTATTTTAAACATAAGAAAAAAAGTACTTGTATATAAATATATCAAAGGGTGACAATATATAATCATCATCATCCATTCCTTCATTAGTTGTTTTGTTATGGCCTGTGGGATGATGGACGCAAAAAAAAACTTATTGCAGGAACGATGCACGCAAAAAACAAGCCTGTGGTTTTCACTCCTCTCACACTACCTCAACATCAATAGATACCTTGTAAAACTATTTAAAAGTTTCCTCTACAGTATGGGACCTTTCTAATTTATCAAACTTGAACAATCTTTCGCCAAATTTGTAAATAATAGCATTTTTTATCAATAGAAAATACGTTAAGCAATATCATTAAGATACATATAGAAGGATTTGTTTTATCCTTGGCCAAAACTTTTGGCTGGAAAATTTATCAAAATACATCCAGCTTATCAAGTATTTAACGTATTAGCCAGCCCTTTTCAACTATTCCAACTCAAGAGAGTGTATTTTAATGGGCTTTTGAAACCAAATAAAAAAAAAGAAGAAAATGTCTCCCCCTGAAATTTCCATTCCTATTAACCCTTTGGGTTAACCAAAATCCCTTGAACCCCTTCAAGTTTTAAACTTTGGGACCATTAGTTCCATAATTATATTTTTCTTTGTTTTATTTACAAACTTGATCTCTTTGTTTTACAAAATTTTCCCTTCGCTTTCTCTTCTATTGCCTAAAACCGATCTTACCTCCATGAATCCCACTCTATAAATCTAGACATGAAAAAAAAGAAAAATTTTATTTAACATTATGATGTATTTTACAATTATATCAATATCGTTTGAACTTGAAAAGTGATTAATCAATATATTTGTTACTATTGTTAATGGTTATTATTATTTATTTATTAAATTTTTTTATCAAATTACTTATGAAATATTTAATCATTAATATATTATTGTTGTTATTATTGTTATTATTATAATTATTAATTAATTATAATAATTATAAATTAATATCATCAATAAAATTTGTGTATCAAGTCACAAAAAAAAAAAATGGTTGACTAATATATGGGTTTGGAATTTTATAAAATAAAAAAATCAAATTTAAAATAAAAATAAAAAATAAAAAAAAAAACAATTAGAGGGCTAACACTCTCAAAATTTTAAATTTGCGGGGGTACAGGGGATTTTGGTGAACCCAAAAGGCTAATAGGGATGGAACTTTTGGGAAGATGGGTAAAGGTCATTTTCCTATAAAAAATAAGCAAAATATTAAGGGGTGTGGTATGTATAAGGTGGTAACCTTAAATAATCAAAATAAGTCACACTTCCAAACTTCATTGGAAGATGGCTTGAAAAAATCATGTCCAACCCTTATTATGAAACTGACTCCAAAAATAGTACAGATTAAGCACATCTATAAAGTATAAACAATAGAATATTTAAAAAATGGGCGCTCTAAATAATTTGTCACATCATATCATGAATAATGAACTTATATTATATAAAAATAAAGGAACATGATTCATATAACCGACCCCAAATAATTGGGGTAAGACTTGGATGATGATAATTATCCAAATAATTTATTATAAGACGTGCAATTAGTAAGAATTGAAATCATATTCTTCCCCTATTCATACCAGCCTTTGAAAAATTGAACCGGCCTCAGAAACCAGCCAATGGCTGGTTCGAAATAACTGATAAACCGACTGGTTTAACCAGCCTAATCGGGAAAAACAGTTGACTAGTCCATAAATTCTTACAAAAAATACAAAAAAAGTGTGAAAAGTGTGTTTAAAGTATGATTAAACAAAGCACATCCAAATGAAGTTGAAAATTAGTGAAAAAATTGGATTTAAAAAAATTGATTTATGCCTAGAGTATTTTTGAAAAATAATTTAAAAATGGGAAAATATAAAAATAAGTTAAAATGATAAAAAAAAAATTAAAAAATATATTACAAACAAAATCTTTATTTTTTGGGATTTTCTGTTATTTCTTTTAATGTTTTTTAAAAGACTCAACCAGGCTGTCAAAATCGGATCGACAAGTGCCCGGTTACGGTTTGACCGACCGGCTCCAAGTTGGACTGGCCGAGTTTGCAAACACTGATTCGTACATCCCAAGGTCAATATGATCAATTCGAGGATTATCCAGCATCAAAACAAACTATTCGGCCTTGTTTGTTTGCAAGAAGGAAAATGTTCTCTGAAAACAAACAGTTGTCGGGAAGTGGAATGTTAAGCAAGTCATGCTCAGTGTTTACAAGATTGGCCGATTTTTAAAAAATTGGCCGACTAACTCGGGATCGGCCACTGACCGATCCCTATCTAGCTCGATTCCAACGGTCATGTATGTAGGAATTTTTTTCAATGCACTAATCGGCCAATTAGTGCACTAATAAGCGATTTGTTTTAAAAATCGGCCGATAAGTGCATTGTCACATTGCAGAGTCTGCAAAGCTATCCTTATAACATTTTTAATATATTTCTCCTTTTCTTTTTTTTCCCTATTCTTCTATGGACACGTTTTCTATGCGGCCAGCCAACATGCTATAGAAATGCGGGCTTGACAATAAATATGTTTTCTAAATATAAATTGATCCTATTTTTTAGAGAATATATAATTTTTAACATAGAGATCATGAATAAGAAAAAATTAAATAATAATTTAAAAATTAGAAATAATAATTATATTAAAAAAAATATTTCGACCATTAGTTACTTTTGTTTTAAGATGGATAACCTATTTGCATCCATTTTTAAGATGGATGCTTTATACTTATGGACCGCATATTGTAGAAATGCTGTCCGGCCTGCATGAAACAATTTTTCTTCTTCTATTTCTCTACTAAAAACTTTATACAGTATTATTATAATTTTTTTATTTGCTAACTGCATGGTTTGCCGCCTTAGGCGAGTAGACTCAAACGCACTACAGGTGGTTATGCCTGACAGGGTGCCAAGCCCGAAGGTCCCTCAACTAAGAGGATAAATTTTTCATTGCTCATCTGATTTGAACTTGAATCTAATACCTACACCATCAACCCCTACCCCCCAAAGGGGCACATAGGCACAAATATCAGAGAACAATAGAAATTTATCAAATTTTTCACAAAGAGACGAATAATTTTATATTTTACCTACATTTTTAATTGAATTTCAAAATACCCAAAAAAAAAACATGGTCTTGAGTTAAAATATTATAATATTTTATAATATTATATCATATTATATTTATATATATATTTTTATTAATGTAATATATTATATAGTATATATTGATTACATATTATATATAATATACAATTTAATATATATTGAACATTGAAAAAGTATTGTTTCAATGCGTAATCATTTTCTCCGTAACTCAATTATGTTTATAATATTTATTTTTTTACTTTTCATGTGACTATAAAAAAAAATACATATAAATTTTAAACATTTTTTACATTTTTTAAAGATTTTTTGAGTTTTTTAAGATTTTTTTTATCAAAATGCATTTTTTCAAAAAAATGGGGACACTAATCAGCGGATTTAATCGGAACCAGTCGGCCTAATCGGATGGGAGCAGGACCGACTAGGCCCGATCCGTTGAACACTGGTTTAAATTAGACAAAAAAACCAAAGACAAAAAATAAAAAAAAGCTTCACAACAAAATTTACCATTTTACTTTGAAAGACCGATAGGACAAATGAAAAGAGATTGAGAACATGAGTCATCACATGAAGGTTCAAAGTTCCAACACATTGACACAAGACCCGTCCTAAGCCACGGTAGAGAGAGAAGATGAGGGCGATCGATCCCTTGGCTCGACATCTAGTGAAAAAGAAAAGAACAGGACACATGTACTTGCTGTGACGTCCAACCTACAAGCAATTATTTGCAAGGAAATAACCGTGCGGTGAAATAATAAAAGGACCCGGTTTGTATGCGGCCAAGCCCGCCTACGTAGAAATTCGGGCTTCTTAATAAATCTATTTTTTAAAATGGATTTTAAAACTTAATTTTTAAGCACATGAATCTCTAACATAGAGATCATGAATATGAAAATTTTAATAAATTTTAAAAACTAAAAATCTTAATTTTAATAAAAAAAAGATTTGAACGGTTAGTTTCTATTGCTTTTAGATGGAACAACTACTTTAAGATGGATGCTTTATACTTTTTGGATGGCATATGAAGAAATGCCCACATGAAACAATTTTTCATAATAAAAAGGTCAGATAAAATAACAATAGGATCAAGTTTTTATGCGGCGAAGCCCACATATGCATAAATGTGGGCTTCTTAATAAATCTGCCTATCTTTAAAATGGATTTTAAGACTCAATTTTTAAGGACATGTAATCTCTAACATAGAGATCATGAATATGAATAAATAACTAAAATTTAAAAACTAAAAATAATATTTCTAGTAAAAAAACATTTGGACCGTTGGTTTCCATTGTTTTTAGATGCTTGCATCTATCTTTAAGATTGATGCTTTACACTTTCTGGACCGCATAAGTAGAAATGTGGTCCAGCCTGCATGAAATAATTTTCCATAACAATAAGAGTAATTTACATATGGACCCCGTTTCTATGTGGCCAATCCTTCACATGTAGAAATGCGAGCCTCTTAATAAATCTATTTATGAGGTGGATTTTAAGACTTAAATTTTAAGGACATGTAAATATCTAACATGGAGATCGTGAGTATGAAAAATAAATAAATTTTAAAAATTAAAAATAATAATTCCAGCAAAAAAACATTTGGACCATTAGTTTCTATTGTTTTTAGATGGAACACCTACTTGCATCCATCATTAAGATGCACACATTGTAGAAATACGGTCCAGCCCGCATGAAACAATTTTCCATTACATACTGTTTTTAATTTTTTTTAAAAAAAATACAAAATGCTTTGTTTACTGGTAGAAATTACAAATAAGGCCCGGGAGTGGCCTTCTCTATAATTTTCACCTCAAGATGAAGCAATTTGTATTAAAAAAAAGTTTGAAAATCCGTACGTAAATGACTGTTAACAATAATAAAAAGGCAAGAACTTACTCACATGAGCAGCCACGAAGTATGCAATCATATTGAGGGCAAAACCCCACCAAATTGTTCCAAAAATGTAGCCGGACAGGTTCTGCATCCTTCGTAAGAGAGAGATTGCGTGGTATAATTTGGGGAGATATTGGAAAAGAAACATTATCAGAAACACTGTCATCACTGTGGTGGTGGAGCCTAGCCTTATCAAATTTGGTGCAACAACCCATAAAACCATCTGCAAAAATAAAATAAAATAAAATAAATGAACGGGTTCTGAGTGTCACTGTAAATTTGCTTTTAGAGAGATATGAAGAACATTTCACTTACATATAAAAAAAAAATTATATAAGAGTTAGGCTCTAAACAATCAAATTAAGACCCACCTAAAAAAATTTACTAAAAAAAGTTGTTTGGATGCTAAAAAAATCCTCCAATTAATCATCTCCACCTTGAATAGACATGAGAATAAATGGATTTCAAATCTTGGACATACTGTAATGAATTTTCTGACGGTCAATTCTCAAGTCTTTCAAATGTTTATAAATATGCTCATTCTACACTAATTTTTAAGCTTTCAATTTTATAAATAAATTTTCCAGCCATTGTTTCAAAACATCTTTCAGCACTATTTGAAGGTGCATCTTATTAGTCTTCTGTTTATATTTTAAACAACGACTTAGTGATTGAGCATAGAGCCCCCCAAGTGTTAACATTCATTTAAAAAGAAGAAAAAAAAAAACAACAGCACGAACCCCACAGTGTTAAAGATGGATACGATAGAGGGTAGGCAATGCATCACGATGCATCATTACCTTAAAATTTACTTATCAAAAAATAAAAATAAAAAACACAAACAGGTCAGTACAGAGGGAAGCTGAGAAAGAGTTTTTTTGAATTATTGGATTTGTAATTGATTGAGAGAGAGAGAGAGAGAGAGAGGGGTCTCACTTGTTGAATGGGAAGTATAACAAAGAGGTCAAACAGGAAGCCCTTCTTAGAGGTCAAATAATGGAGGGCAACTGCCCTAGGATGAGTTTGTAGGGTTCCACCCCCCACCCCTACAGAGTGCTTTGTTACATAGCACGTCTTCAACTGAACCCACATGTTACACAGGTGCATCAAATCAGTCATGCAACGCAGGGCCGTCACCGTCAGTGCAAACCAGCCGTCGATGAAGAGGCAGAGACAGGTGTCGCTTATAGAGAGAGCGTACAAAAAGAGGGGGTCGACTGCGAGCCCAGCAGCACAGACTAAGAGGAAGACCCTGTTCCATTCCTGAATGATTTTGCTTCGAGGGTCGAACACTCTTCCTAGGATCCACCCTCTTTCACACAAATAACTCTTTTTCTCTCTCTGGATTGGACTTGGGTTTTCTCCTGATTCAGAGTCGCTCCAACCATCGGAGCTCTCTGCGCTAGCCATGGATCCGTCCCAGTAAATCGCCTCGACCAGAGCCCGCCCGAATATCTCGATTTTTTGAACACAGAAAATAACTCTTGGGTGTTTTGAGACAGCTGAGAAGAAGGGATGGTTATTTTTTAGCGAGAGGGTCGGATGGGTTTCTGTCACAAACAGATAGAGAAGCTGAGGTAGGGAGGAATATATGGTGGGATTTTCCAAAATTTGGGACCTGCAATTATTGTTCATGTGAATTTTTTGTATGCTCACAACACGCCATAATGACCAAAACTGTCCACACTTTACACAATAATAGCAACGCACCTCTTTTTCGCAAGGTGTCCGAACGGTCTTGTTTTCTTCACATTTGGGACCGATGTTAGTAAAACACGGTTAACCGGACAAGGTCAGGTCAGAAGCAGTTTAACCGATCTAATTAACGAATAGGTCGATTCAACCGTTCTAGCTGGACATGTTCAGGGTGGTAAAAAATTTGTTATAAAAATAAAAAAATATAAAAAAAAAACTGTTCAAATAAAAAAAAACATATAAATAAGGGTATGCTCGGCATAACGATGCATCCGAAGCTAGAGAGGTAAGGCCCACCTTCAAATTTCATCTTGGTATATAATTTTGATGTAAAATGTTCTTAGGATTATTTCAAAATCTATTTTTATATCTAATTATAAAATTTTATATTTCACAAATGATTAAAATCAAGTAGATCTATAAACATATGAAAATCTTCAAAATGGACGGTGTAGATAATATGTTGTAAAATGCACTATTTTTAAGACTTAAAATCTTTTTATTTTTCATGGTCATGCATCTCGATGATCAATCAAAGGCTTTTTCAACGTTAAAACTATCTTTTCTGATAGATTTTTGAGGTGCATCCGTAGCTGTAGATGTGAGGTTGCAACCTTATATAAACTTTTTCCTATAAATAATGACTAAAGCAAAACGCATTCAAATGAAGTTGAAGATTAATGAAAAATGGATTTTAGAAGTGAGTATTAATGATCAAAATAAATTTTAATATTTACCATAATGTAAAAATATTTTAAAAATGTATTACAGATCAAATTTTTTATTTTTGAAATTTATAGATATTTTTTTGAATTTTTATTTTTAAAAAATACAGCCTTTCGTCAAACCGCCAAAAATCCGAACTAGCAAGAGGCCGGTTCCGATCTAACTGGGCGATTACCCGTTAGATCGGCCAGTTTTTCAAACAATATTTGGGACAATTCCACTGGGCTTGCTAGACTTTCTAATTAAATATTTTTAATTTAATATTACAAGCCATAAATAGATGGTCTTTATTCATTTACAAATATAAATAGGGAGCTCTTCCTTTTTTTGTGGGTAAATAAAAAGGGAAATGTTTTCATGTGGCCCCAACAATATATAAGTTATAATTGACCCCACTTCGTAGCCGTTCAATCTGAATCGAATGGCTACGATTCCTCATACCCCAATGTCACGTCAAATATTGTTTTATTTTTTATTTTTTTCGACAAAATATTTTTGGATGAAATTTTGTGCGTATCATCACAAAATTAGGGTGAACCTGGGAAAAATAAAAAATAAATATTTTTTGTAAAAACAAATGACCAAAATCCCCTTACAATTTTCAAGGGTATTATGATAATGAAATATTATTATTATTATTATTATTATTATTATTATTATTATTATTATTATTATTATTATTATTATTATAATTATTATTATTATTATTATTATCATCATTATCATCATCATATGGGCCCTTATCAGATCTATGCATGGCCCAAATTTTATTTTAAAATTATTTATAAAATAAAAATAAAAAATAAAAAATAAAAAACTCTGAGCAAAATATCTCTCTAAAGTACTGAACTATAGACTTGGCTTTACCCTCTATATCAATAATCTTTTACATTACCATGACCACAGTAGATCTTCTTCTAGAATTAGCTATAATATAGACTCTTGAATTATCAATAACATGAAAGTATTTCGTATTATTGTCCCCTTCTTTCACCCACCCATTTAGCTTGACCTTGGGAAGCAAAAATTTCAACTCTAAGTGCATGTTAGAGAGGTGGAAGGGCCCATCTTCCACAAAAAGTGGAAGCCACAGCTTCCAAGTCTTCTAATTTGAGGTTCTCTCTCAAGTGCTTTCTTCACGTGAGTTTGTTCTTTTGGTTTAGGCTCTATAAGTTCTTCGTAGCCTGACAGATTTTCTGTGAAATATTACCAAATCTTGACTTACTCCAATCCTTCAACCTTTCTTTAAGAATTCGAAGTTTCTTTGCAATTATAAAGCCCCTCCAACCCTAAATTTTCGTGTTATTCTAAGCAGATCTTACTTCAACACATATAGGCTTTTTCTCCATCCACATAAACTGAAAACAATCACCCCTTGTGACCAAAATAAGGGATATGTGGCCGAATGCTAATCGCAGTAATGCCTTAACCATAGCCTTTGAAAACATTGGTTCCCATTGTTGGATATGATGATATCTAAAAATCACTCACATAAAGAAATCTCATATTTTGCAAGATTGAGATTGATATTGATAAGTTTTCTAAAGCAAATAGAAATCCAAAAAGATTAATACTCTTGTGATATATCTCTTAGTTATATAACTTATATTGGAAGTTTCCTATTTGATGTAGATTCATAAACTTATATCTATATATATATATATGGCAGATAATTTGTGTGCCCTATGTGGGTCACCATATAGGAAAGGTGGCTTCCTCTAGAGAGAGAGGTTGATTTCTTGTACAGAAGCGGCTTCCATGAAGATTTTGGATAGTTTCCCTTTTAATGAAGGAAAGTAATGAGGAAAAGTCTCAGTTCCTCTCAAAAGTCTCTTCTTGGACAGCGGTTTAGCTGTAGAATAGAGATGGGTCTCTTCCTGGAGAGTAGTTTAGCTGTGGAATAGATGAGAGATTTGCCGGTGGTGTTGATCAGGAGAGTGGGTTTAAACAGGTTTGTTCGACTAGGTTTTGTCGGGGGTTAGAAAGGTAATTCTCTAGTGCAAAATCTATGATGTAACTTTCATTGGTATGGTGGATTTCAATTTGTCGTGCCTATGGATGTAACCCTTTTGGGGTGAACCACGTAAACCTTTATATTCTTGTGGTATATGTGTTTCATGCTTTATTTATCGTATTATGGCTCATGCTCTCTCTTATTTTTGTTTCTAGTTGGATAAGTACACGATCTTCATAGAATCCAACTTTTGGGATTCGTGTTTCTACATCTAAGAGGGTCTTTAAATCCTAACACCCATGAGGGTGACACAAAATCTTTCCATCTTTGACATTAGCTGTGTGAATTTTCAGACTATGAATGTGATGCCAGCTATATTTAGGTCTATTAGTTCATTAGCTAAAATAAAATCATTGAGTCTCAACATGGATTGAGTAAACCATCTAATCCTTTCAAAATCAGCAGCACCGCACCAAGGCAACTAGGTAATCTTGGTGTATCGCTTGCTTGTAATCTAGTTATGCAGGAGTGTGTAATAAACTACCTGACATTTACAAATTACTGGGAAGGATGAAAATTTTAACATTTTACCCACATTGTTTGATTTAGTTTCGAAGTATTCATCAAAATAAACAGGATCATAACTTAGAATTGTCATAATGTATATCTCAGGCATTTTAATAAATTTGCCTAAATTATAACTATCCGTCTGTACAGCCTAAACTTTATTTCAGTACATGACTATCACTAAGAATAAAAACAAAAATGTCCGGTCTTGGTTGTCTGGATTATTGGAAGGATATAGGGACATCCTATGTGTGGAAGCACAGGGGCCTTTTATGGTGCTCAGAGGAGCATCCGATGAACCCTCTTAGTTTTTATTGGGTATTGGCTTGGTAAGGTGGCACAAAAACCATACAAATGCTTGTTCCTGTCTATTAATCATATATGCGGGTAAATATGTGGATTGTATATGGGGTGTGCTGTGCATCTCCAAATTTTATTATAACATATAATTTTGGTGTCAAAGTTTTAAGATATCCTGAAAATTTATTTTTATCTTTAATTATAAAACTTTACACTCCAAAAAATAGTTTAAATCAAATAGATATGAAAATATTGAAAACGGACGGTCTAAAAAATGCTTGCAAGATGTACTATTTTTAAAACTCAATATTATTTCTTTTTCATTTTCATACATCTCGATGTAAAAATAATCAGGCCTTTCAATATTAAAACAGCCTTTTCCAATAGATTTTTAAGATGCACTTTAATTCTACATTTTGATATTGCAAACTTAGACTGTACATGTTAAAGAGAGAGAAAGGGAGTGGCTAATGCCTTCTTGTGAAGATGGTCCACCGGACGATGCAGTATTGTTGCCAGTATCCTTGAACAGAGAAACACGAAAGAGAGATATGAGAGACAGAGAACGACAAAAAGTATTTATGTGCAAATGGTGTACCTAATTAACATGTGGATAATGTGGTACTGCCCCTCTCCTTTTCGAGAGGTGAGATCAACGTAACTGGTAGCCTCCACTGCATGTCAAGAAAATACCTGATTGGTGTGCCCGGAAAGGTCGAGTGTTCCTCATCAAACCCAGCTTACCTACCCGATAGGACAGATAGAGCGTGTACTTTGGCTTTAGGGTAGGATCGACCCGTAGAGTCGACCCGAATCTTGTCCGGGTTCGGGTTCATGTTTTAGATACGGTGGGTCGAGTTAGGGTTCAACTAACTTGGACCCGACCTAGGTCGGGATTGGGTCCGGGTCTGGCATGGACCCTATCGAGTTGGGTCAGGTAAGTGTAGGGTTGGTCTAGTCTGGGTCAGGGTCAACCCTACCCGAATTAACCCATTATAAATTATATACTAAATAATATATAAAATAAACTTATTGGGTCTTTTTTTGCTTCTAACCCAGTTCTGGTCAAGTCTAGGTCCAAATGATTTGGAGCCGGTCCTAGTCCGGCTTCAAGTCACTTGGACTCAACACTAATCCAAGCTGGATCCGAGGCCAGGTCTGGGTCTAGATACAGTTGACCAGGACTAGACCCAACCCACAGCCACCCTTATCCCCGAATACACGATTTACCCCTGAGTTTCAATAGATTTAATATCTAAAACCATCGAAAATCACTATAATTACATTACTGCATTATACTCATTAATTTGAAGCTCCAAAAATAATGTAAGTAGTTCCAAATAGAGATACAGACCTTGTCTTGTGAAGGAAATAACAACCGATAATACTTCTAAAGAACTCAATAATTGAAAGATCTATCCTAGTTGTCGCGAGATATTAGACTCTACATTGACAATGAGACTAACTGGATCTTATTAAGATAAAAGAAACTTTAGTGTGGCTCTGTAAGACTAGCCATCATTATTGAAAATGACATCTTCCGACTTGGTAAATGAGCTTTTATACTAGCTCATTAGTTGGATTAGGGTTTCCACGATGGGGGTTGCTTACCAATATCACTAATCACCGTAGTTTTCAATTTTCATACAATCCCATGCGGTGACTCTTGAGCAACCTTGTTAATTACGATGCTTTTCAAATCCCCAGTCAGCAATTTTAAAGGAAGTTGGTAGTTAACAAACGCAGGGCAGCTCAACATTTGGCATCACATCATCATTTTACAAGTTAGAAGAGACGGGCAGCAATGCATATTAACATTAACGATTATTTGCTATTACTTTTTTAATCAGGCTTCATAATATATTAAAAAATGTTTGGTTTTGGTCCTCAAAACATACTATCTTGAGGTTCGTATCCTAAGTAACCTAACAAAAAAAATAAGAAAGAACAATTTCATGTATATTATAATATGTGACAACATGGATATCATATGTTACTTCTTAAGAACTCAGTTTTTTCGAAGATATCCCATGGAACAGGGAAGGCAGATCTAACAAAACTAAAATTCTAGTTTTGTATTCTCTTTGTATTTATTTGTTAAATATTAAACAAAAATAGTCATTGATTTTGATGATACAAAAGATGGTCTTAATGATAATTAGTAGGTTAGGATGTCAGTGAGGAACTTCACCATCATCATCATCATCTAAATCTTATCTTAATTATTTTGGGTTAACTACATGAATCATGTTCCTCCATTTTTCTATATCAAGGGTCATGCCCTCAATAAAACCATAAGTCACGATATCTTTTCTTATTACTTCCATTCTTGTCCTTTTAGGCCTTCCCTTTATCCTTTTAGAACTTCTAGTTGAACCAAATCGCACCTCTTAACAAGTATTGTATTAGGTCTATGCTGCACATGACCAACCTACCTAATTCTACTTTTCCTGATCGTATCACCTATTGAAGCCACATCTAAGTTCCCTCATACATATTCATTCCGAATTTTATTCTTTCTTTTCTTACCACTTATCCATCTCAAAATACTCTTAGTAGCTATGCTCATCCAATGGATATATTATTTTTTGAACGCCCAACATTTTGTCCCATAAAGCATAACTAGTCTTACAACCATCGTATAGAATTTCTCATTCAATCTCAATGATATGTGACGATCATATAAAACTCCAGATGTAAATCTCCACTTCGCCCACTAAGCTCAAATTCTATGTGCGATATCTTCCTCCCTCGCTCTGTTCTTCTGGATTATCGACTCCAGGTATCAAAAACAATTTCTTTTAAGTATTTCTTGATAATCAATCTTAACTACTTCCTTGTTTCTACTCTTATTATTACTAAACTTGTATTCCATATATTTTGTTTTAGCCCGGCTAATTTTAAAACATTTAGATTCTACAGCATCCTTCCACCGTTCTAACTTTGTATTAATTCCATCTCTAGTTTTAATGATCAAAACTATGTCATTCACAAACAATATATACTACGGTACCTAATTTTATAGGTGTCTTCAGCTGACCCTGATGTAGGCCCATTGCCACTAATAACTCATTGTCTCTCTGCTAGTTGTCCACACACTAGTTATTGCTTGCTCATACATATCTCTCACTATGTCAAAATTACGTCTAGTGACTCTTTTCTTTTCTAACACCCAAAAAATTAAATATCTAGGTACATCATTGTATGTTTTTTCTAAATCAATAAAAGCCATTTAGAGGTCTTTTCGCTTCGCCCTAAATTTATCAATCAGTTGCCTAAATAGGAAAATGGCTTTGATAGTTGACATCCCTAGCATAAAACCAAATTGTTGTTCTGATACACTCGTTTTACACCTTAGTCGTTGCTTAACCACTCTGTCATATAGCTTCATAGTATAGCTCATAATTTAGTCCCTCAATACTTCGTACAAATTTGTATATCTCATTTGTTCTTGTTAATAGGTTATCGTTTCTTATTGCAAGTTAATCATATTGCACCATAGTACTTTTTCACCATTTATATGACATTTTCTTTGTTCTCAATGTAATAACTAATAATAAGCAGTAGTTGTATCTAATTTTCACCTTAAAAAATGGTTATATTTAGTTCGTCATTTTCTCTCTCATCATTCTCCAATGAAGTAAAACGATATTCAAGCGAACGAGCTATATACCATTGCACATTACCAAAGATCCTGGTATTTTTTTGGGTAAGTCAGTGGGAGAGAAGGCCCTATATCTGATATTTAATTATCAAAGATCCTGCTGAAGTTGAAATGTATGAACAACCAAAACAAATAAAATGAAGGGATAATTACATATACCCCAAGATGATATCTTTTAAACATGATCCCATCCCAATACTTTTTAAACTACACTATTAACACAATACTATTTATTTTTACGTCCACCCTCTAAGTAAGAGAGTAGTTGTTTTAGACAAAAAATACCTTCATAGATTTAAAGTAGTTTCTCTCTCTAAAATTTTGAAATTTAAAATTTTAGAGAGAAACTTTCTCTAAAGTATTTTTTTCAAGAGAATTTGAAGTTGAGCTCAAATTTCGGTGATATTAAGAAGTGTCGCATACAAAAATGGGGCATGGGTATTTCATATTGATTTCTCAAATTTGAGTGTCAAGTCAAAAGTTGGTTGAATCAGCTTTTGGAAACACCCAATGCATTCCCCATGTTAAGGGACGGATTGATCTAGTGGTCCAAGACTCGGCCTTGGCAAGCTGCCAGCGAACGTCTGTATGTACTAACTCGCGATTACATAAATTTTATTATTCCTATAAAATTAATAATATTAAAGCACTAATCAATGCTGTATAAATGTTTCATGTACATTCTACATTTTTTCTTAGAATTTGTGAATTTTTTCTTATTTCGATCTCTGTTTTCCTGTTTTCCTTTTTTTCCTTTTTTTATATTCTAAATTGTTTCATGCTATAAATTACATTTTTCCATATTTTAAGGGTGTGGTTTCTATAAGGTTGCAACCTTAAACAATCCAATTAAAGCACACCTCCAAATTGTATCATAACATGTAATTTTGGTGAAAAACATGATTAGGATTATCGCAAAATCTATTTTTATATCTAATTATAAAATTTAAAAGTTAAAAAATGGTTAAAATCAAATAGACTTATAAACATGTAAAAATCTTGAAAATGGACAGTCTAAATAATGTATTGCAAAACGCACTATTTTTGGGACTCAAAATCTTTTTTTTTCTATATTCATACATTGCGATGTTGAGATGACCAATTAGAGCTTTTTTCAACATTAAAACAACTTTTTTTGATGGAGTTTTGAGGTGCATCTGTGATTCTACATTTTAAGGATGCAACCTTATATAAACTTTTCCCTTTATGTAATCATTTCCATGTTTTGTGTAGTTTTAATGCCCTCTACAACTTCCTTCACTTTTACCCCTTTATTTATCAAATTTTTATATTTTGTTTTGAATTTTTAGCCCTTTTCTGGGCTCGTACAAGGCTCAGGCAAGTCTACCCAAACTCTCCCGCGCTAATCAAATCAGCCAGAAGGCGAGTCCCGAACCTGATTCAAGTAACCAAACATTGGATATCAAATTAAATTTGGCAGATGCTAAAAATATTGTTTTCAGGTAAAACAAAATCATTGGTCCCGAGCTAATCAAATCAGCCAGGAGCCGAGTCCCGAGCCCGATCCAAGTAACCAAACATTGGATAGATCAAATTAAATTTGGTAGATGCTGAAAATATTGTTTTCAGGTAAAACAAAATCATTGGTTGCTAACAACGTACAATGAAGGGATACATGGGTTTGTGAAATGTTTGTGTATTTCAAAGTTATTTGCAAATCACCATAATATAATAATGATTTTTTTTTGGGGGCCACTCAGTTACAAAGGATCTCCTAGTCGTAAGAATGGAACTCCAAGACAGCCCACCACCCTGACCACGTAGCCTTGAACCCATTCCTAATAACCAATACTTCATGTAAAATAGATAGCATCATGGTTTGCATGTACTAGTAACCAAGAAAGAGACTATGTAGAATAGAAATTAGGAACTGTAATCAATAAGAATTTGCAATTCTATTGATGGATCTACATATACAAATATGTCAAGTTCAGCCCGACAGCCCAAGTCCTGAATTTTAGAAGTTGGGACTATGGTATTCATATAGAAGCAACAAAGCTAAATGCAAATCATATACAAGCAACAACAGTTTTCTATCTGTATCTGGTACATGTTCTAATCATGAGATAGGAAACATCAAACCTGTTTTTTAGACACACCCTGGTGAATATTTAGAGAGGGAATCGAGCAAACATGAGCTCTTGGTTCAAAGGCGACTGGAGTCCCTACCGAAAGTGAATCGTTTTGTCCAGTCGAACATCACCAAAACTCTTGTACGCCAGCTGACTTGCTTGCTTCATGGTCAAGAGACAAACTAAGTATCAGAATAACAACCCAGGATGTTTCATAAAGTTTTCCTTTGTTTATGATAGCTGAACAGAATGTTCGAAAAGGACCCTCAAGACATTGTACTTTAGAGATTAGTAATTAATACTATTCAATATTATACGTGAGATGGTGTTGGCCATGAATCGAGACCATATAATCACTTGGGCAGCATCTTCAGAGCAGGCCATCTATTACCTTTCGGCCTGTGTCTCATGGAAGACAAACTTTGGACAAATTCGAACAGGAGAGATAATGTTGGGAGGGACTTGAACATTGAGAGGATTGGTCTTCTTATTTGGGCCTTACAGCATGCAACTAAACTCTATTAAAATTGTGATCGTTGAAGACTTTGAAGTTTTTGAAGTCAATAGTATTTTTCCCACTAGGCTTTAAATACGATAGTCGCTGCGAAAACTTCCCGCAGATAAGAATGTGTGAGATATGTTTAACGAGTAAAGTATTTTGGAAGAATTCATTATTCAACTGAATTTTGAAAAAGGATTACTGGAAATTTACTCTCTGACAGTAGGATTGTAGGAACCAAGGGCCACTTGGATGTAGAATTATTTGGTCATATGAAAAATGGATGGGTGTAATGTGTCTTATAAAATGTATTTTATAGGCGTCTTCAACTTTTACCTCCAATTGCTAGACGTATCAATAAAAAGACGAAAGACAGACTAGGACAAGATGAAGAGAACGAAGCATGAATTACCTCGCATATACAGAATACCAAAGCCATTGAGTACTATGGCCTATAGAAATCCAATCTCCAGGAAGTTCTGCAGCAGTTTGCTCTCCTCCAAGTGGAGCAAATTGTCCAAAATGCTTATACCTGATGTACTCAAATTATCAGAAGGTAGAAAAAGGTGTGCTGAAATTTATAATATTCCTCAATGCCGGTGGAATTGAATATCGTGTCAGCGTCCATGTAATGACGCTTCAAATGATGGATTTCAAACATTTGCATTGTTTTATGGACACTGAGGTTACATTCTCACCAAGACGCCATGTATGAGCATGATTATCAACAATATATATAAATAGAATTCCAAGAAGAACATAAAAAATTGCAACATGATGAAACATGAAATAATTAATAGGGTGAAAAAACACAAGACAATGTGCTTCAGGATAAACATTAGTTTGTCACTGAATTTGACCTAAGTTTCAATGTCTTTAAATAGAATAGAACACATTTATTACTACTATTTGTTTGTAAATTTGTAGCCATAAAATATGAGTGAGCAATATACTCTCAATTCCCATAGACTCTCATCCATGAATTAGACGAAGTAAACTGGAACACGCAAATGTCATCCATGTACCCGACCAAAGCAAAGAAGATTCTTAAATCTGGATCCATGTCTCAGCCAGCATATAAATCATTATCAGTGTTACTAAAACACGACAATGTGCTTTAGAATAAAAATTAGTCTATCCTAGAATTTGACAATTTCACATTCTTTATCTAGAATCAAACACATTTATCACTACTACTTGTGTGCAAACTTGCAGCCATAAACTATCATTAGTGACATATTCTAAGCTTTCATAGATAAGCATGAATGAATGTTTTCATCAGAAGTAAACTGGAAAGTGCAAACGTTATGCATGTCCCCAATGAATTCAAAGAACAGGGCCAATCGATAAATTTGAATTTGCATCTCAATTAGCACATAAATGCTTTGAAATGGCAATAGAAACCAACAAAGAAAATGGTAGAACCATACTCAAATGGACGAAATCGATGTCGACCTGATCCCTTCATTCGAAGAGGACCTTCAGGTTCAACCTCACAATCGTGCATACAGTTAAAGCATCGGGCAAGATACACACCTTGCTGAGCAGCAACCTAAAACATAGCGGAGAAAAGTTAAACAATGTGATGACATTGCACCCAAAATCCTTCAATCAAAACCTACAAAATCGATAATCAACTTTTCCTAAGGATCGATAGGGTGTAAAAATAACAAGGTCTACTGCTATGAACTGAACTTAGTTGCACCTGTGCTGTTGCTGGCAAACTCTTCATTTGTGAATCAACATGTTCAAATGCTGCCTTGAACTCTTCTATGTGCAGTTCTTTAGTTTTACCTTGAGCACTTTCTAGGGAACCTTGCAACAAATCCATAACATTCCGCAAATGTTTCCTCTTCAGGTAAACTTCCACTTGAGGATACCTCACACGGATATCATCTATGATATTTTGGATTTCTTGAACTGTTAAAGTACCAGAATTATCCTTGTCTGCAACCTTAAATATATCTGAAATATCTTCCTAAAGAAGTTGGGAATCAGTCTATGGATAAGTGTAAGCATTAGTAGTAGATACACAGAGTGAAAGCCACATATGAAGTTTGAAAAACTTTAACAGCAAGGCGCTTCCAAATAAAGCATTTTATTTCAAACTGCCAATATAGAAATGCACATTCTAAAACTGCAAAATTTACTGCATCAAGAAGCAGTAAAATTGAATATGTATATTATATCACATACGACAACGTACCAATTCTTCGGAGGAGACGACCTACAAAATATTTTCTAATTTTCATTTTATTTCTTTTATTTAAATTTTTAAGACCTAAGGCACTAGTTACCCTGGATGTTTGTGTCATATAGACGTTATGCCCCAACCACTAAGCTAAAAGACTGAATTCCAATTGTTTATTCATCTTATTTATGTAAGTTTGCTGTTATCAGAAGTACCCTGATTTATGAGAAGCCATTGTTTTATTTGACCAAAATTCACAACCCACTGATTGAACTGAAAATTTGTCAGGACAGACAACTGTCAACTCATAAAGGCCAATCACTGTAGTGAGAGACTTATTAACTCCTCCTTGAATTTTTAGGTACTTGTGTTGTCTAGATAGAAAGTAAATTGAAAGAATCAAGAGATACTTTGTTCCTCAAAGACCCCAAGGCCTATAAGAGGCATTGATCAAATAGGACAAGACCTCCCACCCACATCCCCAAAAAAGATATATCCTTGAGAGTCAAATTTCATGAAAATAATAAAAGATGCATACCAAAGTGCATCAGAAATGCAAACAAAAGGAAATGTATACCAATACAAGTAAAAAATAGTAAAAGGCACACATCAAAGTGCATCATAAATGCAACCAAAAGGAAACGTATACCAATATAAGTGTCCGGAGTGGGATATAAACCCCAAAATGAGCATCTCACTTCACTTTCCCTTTGTGAAGGGCACCGGCACCTTAATTGGCCACTTTAAGGACATGAATGGAAAGAGATAATATCCAATCACTGAAGTCAAAAGTCTCATCCAAGATTAAACATTTCATCAATGGGGACATATATGTTCAATCTGAAACAATAGTCCACTCAACCTTTTATCATCAAACAGAGTAGTAAATTATCATGTGCAAATGCATAACAACATTACAAAATGAAGTATCATGCAGCATAGTTCTATGCAACAACTTTCTTTTTTCTATTGGCAACGTCTAAATGGATTAAGATGGGTTGTTAGACGACTAGCCTTTTGCTTAATATTGCATAACTCAGATCCTTTTTCCTATTAAGATGTGAGAATTTAGCTGTATGACATATCAGATAAAATGGTAGGTGACCAGCCAAAGGCAGAATGTTACCATGATTTTACGTTGATTTATTGTGGCACAATCCCCAAGTGCATATACATTATCACATCCCTCAACCCTCAGCCACTCATTCGTTGCTAAAACACGCCGATCAGTCTGCATACAAACCAAATAAAAATGGACAAAGAAAAACAGTAATTTCAACTAGACACTACTCAACAGCTGGAATGATGAGCAGCAACCTTTACTAAATATAAACGGAGACAACATCATAGCATGGTTGATATCCACAAAAGGAAGGAACATATAAAAATCATAATAAATAATAATCTACATTGAGGATAACAATGGGCAAAAGAAGGTCCAAGAAATGAACCTGCCCAATTTGTTTCATGAAATCCATTACAACAGGGCGAGTCCCAATCCCAGTAGACCAGACAATCATTCCGTATGGTAGTGATGAGGTTTCTTGATTTGCTTTACTCTTCATAGTAATGTACTTGTCAGAAACATTTACCACTCGATATCCTGTTTTTACTTCAACACCATCTCTCTGGAACTTCTGTTCTGCAAATGAACTGATCCTGCTATCAAACCTACAAAACAATCACTTTCACAGATGAATTTTAAGGCGAAGAAGTTTGAACTCATTCGACCATGAAATAAAAAATAATTGGAATTTTGGAAAGGGCATTAGTGTATATAAGAAAAGGTCTTTATTAGTAGGTGAACCAGACTGGAAGTCAAATTCAGAAAGTGGATGGTCTAGTCTCCTATTTTTTTTTTTGGTCCTTGAATGTGGATGGTCTAGTCATTCCTGGTTCAGCCACCAATTTGTGCCAGTAAGACCAGTAACGCTATGCAGTCATCATAAAGTACAGAAAATAAATGGGAAAAACACGAAAATTAGTGAAGAAGAGGAAATGTAGAAATTTTAATAAAATCTTTAGAAATTAAGATTTCATAACGGCATTTAAATAAAAGAAAAAGTTTATATGAGTTTGCAACTATATGTTATAGAAGAATAGTGCACATCAAAAATCCAATCGAAAAGAGTGTTTTGAAGTTGGAAAAACTTCCAATTGATTATCTTGACCTCGCGAGATGTATAGATAGAAAGAAAAAAAAAATTTCAAGTTTTAAAAATAATACATCTTGTAACAATTAATTGGGAAAAGACTATGATGATGATGATGATGATATAACAAGTTTTTCGGACCATCTATTTTCAAGATTTTCAAGCGCTATTGTCACACCCCAAGAATTTACAATACTGATATTCCTGAGATGTGGCAGTCAAAACATATATATACATCTCTTTTTAGGACAAATTTACAATGGCGAATTTTTAAAAAGTAACAAAAGAAAGTTTAAGCACAACTTCAATATCTTCCCAAAGTTGATCCTGACGAGCACTCAAATGAAACCGCAGTTATCCTGAAAAATGTTTATCATAGTTTGATGAGTTTGGCTACTCAGTAAGTGATCATCATAATCCTAAAAATAATCATGATTGAAAGATATTAATATTTTCCAAATGAGATCTATTAACAGAAATGCATCAACAGTTTCACTTTCAATAAATGCATAATTAAGTATAATCCAAGTAATTGAAATGCTTATAACACTTTTAACAGCAGTGCATAATTCAAAGGATTTCACAAAATACCCTACTGGCGTCCCAAGTGGGTCACCTATATACCCCATCAGCGTCCTAATGGGTCCACTTAATCCCTATCGACGTCCCAGATAGGTCCACTTAATCCCTGCAGGTCCACTTACACCTCACCGGCGTACCGGATGAGTCCACTTAATCCCTACCGGCGTCCCAGATAGGTCCACTTATACCTCACCGGCGAACCGGCTGAGTCCACTTGCATACTTAAATTATTTCTAAATCTCTTTAAACAATCGAAAGCAGCAATATCATGTACTCAACATATCACTGAAATCATTAATATGAATTTCACTTAAACCATTAATAACAGTCACTCTTTATAACATTTCAAAAATAACCAATCAAATATTTTGCGCTCAAATTTAGAAAGGTAGCAGTTTGTAAAGGCATTCTAGCATAATTG